GTTCGAGCAAATAATCCAATCCCTTCAGAATGTGGGATATTTTACTTTGAAATTAAAATTATAAACAAAGGAAAAAATGGGTAATATTGTAATTATTTCGTACCATAAACTTCAATTTTGTTCTGGTGATTTTTTATAATATTTTTACTCTATTTTCTTGATAGAATGATTGGAATCGGATATTGTGCAAAGCAAAGCGATAAAAAAATAGACGATTCAGATTATATAAATAATATACTTATGCCTGGTAACAACAAATCTTTATTTTATTTGCTTATTATTACAAATTAACATCTATCATATCCCTTAGGTCAGGAATATAAGAAAAATAAACAAATTAAAGAAAATGAACAAATTAAGGAAAATGAAACATGTGGGTGTGGTTACCATGGCGACGATGGATATTCTTTTTATTCAGGAAATGGTGGACCATATGGAGAGTCATATACTACTGATGATATAATTGGATGCTACCTAAATTTTAGAAATAGGATAGTATTTTATACTAAAAATGGAATTAACTTAGGTACCAACATTTCGAATTAAAGGTTATATTTTTAAACCAAATAGACAGACATTTAATAGTTATGAATATTTTAAGGAATCTACCTAACGATTTGGAAGTCAGCTTATACCCTTGCGTTGGATTTAGAAGCCATAATGAATGATGATGTTATTGAATGAATCCCATTTGATAGGCTTGAAAAAGTTGAAAAAATTGGTGAAGGGGGTTTTGGCTCAGTATATTCAGCAATTTGGGTGAATGGCATACGAGTAACTGAATTTAATAACGATAAATGGATAAGGTCACGTCAAGAATCATCTATAGTTGCACTAAAAACCTTGCCTGATTCTTAAATATCTTTCTAAATGCTTAAAAGAAATGAGTTAAATTTTTTTCATTATAAATTCAAGCATTTAACATGTTAAATATTACACTTTTACTAAAACGCACCTATAGTGTTTTACCACCTATGTTGCATTATCTTAAAAATTGGCTAATTAATTAATATGCGATACTCTAAGTAAAAATGCTCTACGTCCCTCAAAACCCCTCCTAATCTTAATTTTAGCACTAAATACTAACCATAACGTGAAGAATTTGTGCTAAAAATTTTATATAAAAAACTTAGAAAAACTTAAAAAACATATAATAGGTGCAAAACCACTATAGGTGCGTTTTATAATAAATGAAATACCAATACAAGTTCATTTAATAAGTTTAAAAATCATATGCAATGTAGATTAATGGGTAGTGTATTAGGGATATATGGATTAACTAAATGTACAGAAAATAATGATCATATTAAACTTAAGGCTGGTGACTATCTGATGGTACTTCTAAAAAATAAATTTAAAGAACTTACATGGGAACGTAAATTATCACAACTTGTTGATATATCAAATGATTTGATGAAAATTCACAAAGCAGGATAGTGATCTTCATAGCGGAAATATTTTGCAAAATAAAATTGGTGAAACTTACATTGCAGATCTTGGATCATCAAAAAAAAATTGGAGAACCTAATAACGATGAAGAAATTCGTGGAGTTCTACCTTATGTTGCACCTGAAGTTTTGTCACATGAAAGTTATTATACATCAGCAGCTGATATCTATGGATTAGGCGTTATTATGGCAGAAATGTCATCTGGGCAGAGACCTTTCGATAACCATGAATATAATTGTGGTCTCGCAAAGGAAATATGTAATGGATTACGGCCAGAATTTGCACCCGGAACTCCTGATTGTTATATAAGACTGGCTAAAAAAAATATGGATCAAGATCCACAGAAACGGCCCACTGCTAATGATATTAACCTTAAGCTTTATCTTCTATGGAAATATATTAATGATAGTTATAGTTCTGATAAACTTGGTAGAAAAGAGAAATTCCTGGCTACTGATAAAATTATTGAAAAATCACCAGACATCATACGAAAACATCCTGATTCGAAATATACAAGTAAAATTATTAGTACAAAAAAATCAAGAGTTTGCCTATAAGTTAGAATTATTTATATTTACTATTTAATTGGATTTATAAATTATATTATTTAACTTTAATTGACTTGTTTTTAGAATGTTTATCAATTAATATTGATGATATTCCTGATGGTGGGTACTTTATTTAGTTTACTTAAAATTAAACAACTTAATTATTTTATATTAACGTTAATTTTTAGGTTACGAATAAATAACCAATTTTGATAAATAAATGAAATTTTGGATTTTATAAAATATTAATTATTTTTATCTATTTTTATCTATTTATACATACTATAGACTTTTCTTGATTTGAGTATTTTAGTTATTTTATTTTCCATTATTATTTTGTAAAGTTTTTAGTTTCAAAGAAATTACTTGTTTAAATATGTTATTAATAAAAACTTTATTTCCAAAAAAAAAACTTAGATAACTTTGATACGTAGGCATAAAATACTTAAAATACACTCAAAAGCACAATATACATATATAAATATAATATGCAATATCATCAAAATTGATAACTAAAAGTTTAATCATTCACTTTTGATACTAGACCTGTTTTGATCTATCGCTATCGTTATCGCTACAGTACGTAGCTACATATAATTACATACAAATAAGAAAATATACAAGTATTGATCAAAGGTAGGGCTGTTAAAAAGCTTGCCGGAGTAAGCTAATAATCTAAATTAGTATAGATTTTGCAGACTGAATTTTTAATTGTTTAAATAATTACTTCTTTAATTTATACAGACTTGTTGTTAAACATCTTGTTAATTTATAATTGCCGTATTTGTTTATAACAGTTGTGATGGATTAAGATTAAATTAAAATATTGCATGAAAAATAAAAATTTTCGAAGTGCATTTTTTAGAGTTAGGGGTCAGAGTTAGAGGTTAATTTTAGGGTAGCATTTATAATAAACAAGTATAAATAGGTTTTAGAGGATTAATATGTAATAAAAATTTTATTTCATTTTAATCCGATTTCATTATTGTCAACATTTAATAAAAGGAGGACATTTAACAACACTAAATCTAGATATACGTACAAATATGATAATCAATATCTGAAGATAAAAACCAAATTAAATAATAAGGATTGATGTTATCTCTACTACCAAATAAGTGCTCCATTTTTTCTAAATATGGCCATTTAGATGTTGCTTTACCAGTAACTTCCTTTTTTTCATTAGAATATTTTGTCTTAAGGTTTTGTAACTTAGTCTTTACCTGTGTTCCAGTTTTATTTTTTCCCAATCTAATAGCAGCAGTTGCACAGAATTTGGTTTTATTAGATTTATATAACTCCCAGTTTATAGCCAATATGTCAAGAAGTTTATTGATATCAGAGTGTAACCAAAGAGTACTGTTATTAGAATCCTCAAGCTCACTTTAATCAACCATTTCATCAATTATTTCATCAACCGTTTCATCATTTCATCAATCGTTTCCATCAATCATTTCATCTTTACTTGGCATATCAATTGTCTTCTTAGTCGACTCTCCAACTATTTTTCCTGTAATTTCTTTATTAGGTATATACATAGAATTTGGTTGGTAGTTTATAGTATTATTATTTTGTAATATAAATGAATGACTTTTTCACAGGTGGTATATAATATTCCAAATCATTATCTCTTAAAGATGAATTAAATGGAGGAAGATATAAAGAATTATTTAGTGGTGTTTGATAAGGTAGGTAATCATGGATGGTAGTTTATAAATCGATTAGAACTATTCTAATTTTTATCACTCATTTTCAAAGTTACATGTAAACATACGTACGTATGTACTATCCTTTATTTTATATATTTGACTGTCGCCAAAAGAAAACATACCTATTTAAAAAATAGATTATAAAAATCATAATAATCTAGTTCTATACGCAGTAATTTTATATATGCTGGTTCTCTATTCTAATTTTAGACTACTTTAATGGGGGAGTGATCAGTGTTTATTTTTCACAGTGTGCGCATGTGCGCGCACTGTGCGGATCCAATCAAATTGCTTTATTTCAAAATTTGATTGGACC